ACCCAGAAGAATGTCCCACAAGATCTTAGATTTAGCAGCAGTCAACCAGGAAGCAGACTGAGGTGATGGAATCTTTAGGCAGGAGTTTCTCCAGGTGGCTGTCAGGCAGTCGTTGAACTTTAACCATTAGGGTATGCAGCAGCAGCAGCAGCAGGATCTCTCAGTGGCTCCAAGGGACTGTCACACCTCATGCTGGGCTGTAAATTCCTACACAGACTGGTTAAGGATACATTGCATAGGCTTGGCAGGCTTTGATCCTGCTGGTTTTTAAGATGTTTAAACAATAGCCCAGGACAATTTACCAAAATGACAACATTTTTACTAACCAGATATTTTTGTAAATAGACACAGAAGGCTCAGAAGGCTGTCTTGTAGCCATCTCTGACAGATGCAGTCTCCACACCTTGCATACCTACAACAGTTAACACTATTCTTTATGCCTTTTTTTTTTTTTTTTTTTTTGCCTCATTTCTCCAAAATTTCTGACTCTGGACCCTTGATCTTAAAAATGGGGGTAGAAGGGCGAAGATCCATCTTCTGTAACTTCTTCAAGCTGACTTTAGGGGCGTTGATCTTACCTAGCCAGGAACCTATAACCTTAGCCTATTTTACAAAGAGGCTATCAGGGTTAGATGTCATTAGGAACAATATTTAACCTTTGACAACTGCACAGACCTTTTCTCCGGCTACAGCAGTGTAGCTTGTTTAGCACTCTGGTTTGCAAAAGCATCTTCCTAGATGGCTTAGGAATGTGATCTCAACAATGCCTAAGATGCCTAAGTTACCTTTGCAGGCCTTTAGACAGATATCAATAGAAACACTCTCTCAGGTTTACAAACTTTTTCCTGAGCAGATGAACTTCATGTAACTAGTGTCAGCTCAATTAGAGCTGCCAATTAGAGCTTTTTGGCACATAAAGGGGTTGAGATTCAAACTATCCCCCACATTTTATAACATTAGCTTTTTTACTATCAGAGGACTGGCAAGTTTCTGTTCCTTACAAGGTAGATAGTCATGGACATTAGGCATGCTTCCAAACTATCTTCCTATGACCTCCCGGCTCTGACCAGTTTTTGAAGGGCCACAAAATGACTCTAGGATCTGACACTTCTGCTATCCAAGCAGTGGCTTACTGCCTCTGGATGCTCCTCCATTGCTCTTGTCCCAGGAGTGTCTTCTCTACACTGGATAAATGCCTCATTGGCATTTCCCTTTAGCTGGTCGCTGGACTCGAACTCAGGGCCTGAGCACTGTCCCTCAGCTCTACAGCTCGAGGCTAGCACTCTGCCACTTTGAGTCCCAGACTCGGGGCTTGAATACTGTCCCCTAACTCTTCAGTCCAGGGCTAGTACTCTGCCACTGTGAGTCTCGAGCTTGGGGCTTGAGTACTGTCCCCTGACTCTTTAGTCCAGGGCTAGTACTCTGCCGGCTGAATAGAGATGACAGTCTCACTGGGACCTTTTTCTGCCTGGGCTGGCTTTGAACCAGTTTGCAGATCAGTGAGTCTTATAAAAGGCCACTTTCCTCCAATTAAAAGCAACAAGGTGGTCAACAGAAGTAGCTTTTAAGCATGCTCTTACCTGAAACTTATTAAGAGTCAAAGTTACATTTGACAAACTTTTAAGAATCCTCTGTGTTTTGCTCTGGACTTTGCTGGAGACTTAAAAAGACCTATAAGAGCAAACTAGAATAGCAATTCTTTTGATAATCTTAATTTTTCCTTTGTGCACATTGAGGCAAATGTCAAGAACAATTTTACATTTAAACTTTATATCCAAAAATCCATTTTTTAATTAATTTTTTTAAAAGCCTCTTATTAATCACCTTTAATATTTCATACTTTAGTTTTCATTTGCGTTTTGAAAAGATCCCTTGAAATCTTGAGGCCAAGTGTCACTCATTGCCTCTTGGTTGCTTGTTTTAAAGCAGACACACATTAAGATTTTTAAACTCAAATGACAATTTTTCCTTAATGCAAAAATTACAGTCACCATCATTATACCACGAGGCTAGACTTAACACCTCTATAACTTTCAAAAATATCTTAATTGTAAAACATTAAAAGCAAGTCACATTATACAAATAACTTTTTAGCCCTCTTTTTAAGGCCTTTCTAATTTTAATGTTAACACATCCAAGGGGAAGTTTTAGCAATACTAATCAGATCATCACATCACTCATTTTAACCATCATGTTTTCAGTCTGTATCTGCAGGGAAAAGAGAGAACAAAGATGGGCCACTCAGCCCCTTCTATGGAATGGGCACACACCCAATCCGACTCTTTAGGGTTAGATGAACTGCGTTTGTGCCAGCTTGCCTCACCATGCGTGGACTCCTCCCAGGGCCTGTCCCACCATGCATGACCAGCTGAACTGCACTTCTGCTTGCTCACCCCTTGCCCCTAAAGATAGGTCTTCTGTTGGCTTCTAAGTTTTTCCCCGTCTCTTCTCTTGGTTCTCGAATGAAATACAGTTTTAGACAGACAAAACAGGTAACATCTTTGGCAGTGTTAAACTAACCTTTACATTTAAATTTCTAATATTTATCCCCAAATTTTAGCCAAGGGAATTAGATCCCAAACAGCCAATGCATTTTTGTTAAGCCAGATAACTTGATTACAGAATAAACAGTCTTATGCATTTTAAAACATTAGTCTTTTAAAATACCAGATTTTCTAATTTGCAAGTTAAAGAATCTTTACAAAGCCATTTAAAACAATGTGAAGATTTTTTTTTTTAAATCTTTGGTAATGTCCAAACCTCATAACCTTTTGAATTTTAAATTTAAACTCACCCAATTGTTACAGCATGCTGACAATTCTTATCTTTGAACATGTTCACAGACACACACAAAACACACCGATCTTAAAGCGCGCAAAAATCAAAATCAGTTGTACGTACATCTTTTAAAGTTTTTAAACAAAAATTTAAGACAGTATTTTTTTTTTTTTTTAAAACTAGGTACCTTTGTTGGGCTTTATTTTCCCAGAGCTTGCTTATCTAGCAAGGCAATTCACTAATTAGTCTTTTGAATCTCTGTGCTGTTCTCATTCAGCAAGCTGAATCCAGAGTCTGCTGAGTGAGCCTGCCATACTCACCCAAATCTTCCCTACCTCAGAAAACATAAAACGAACACACACACTAAACAAGACAAACAAGTGGCCACAAAGACAAAATCAGGTCTCAGTGAATGGGGTGACATCTCACCACTGACCAGGGGACTCGAACCCCCTCTACTTATTCCAGACAATTTTTCTTTTTAGATTCTTCTGAGATTTCCAATTATACTCAAATTATACCCCCTCTCTTTTACCTCTTTGAAATGACTGAGCAGGAGGTTGAGAGGAGTAAGCTTGCTTTGTCCTTGCCCCATCTCTGCGACAAGGAGTGTCCAAATTAATAAAACCGAGATAAGAAAGAAAAAGAAGTTAAAATCACACACACACACACACACACTCACGCCGCATACGGGGGTTGGTAATGTACGGGCACTTGGTCATGCTTTCTCTGGGGAGGGGGGCAATCTGGTCCGGGCACTCCTGGAATTCTAAAAAGGTGGATGGGGTAATTAAGTGCACACTCTTCCTCTGGTCTAGGGGATCAGTAAGCCCCTCATCCACCGGCCCCAGGGCTGCATGCCTAAGATTCAAATTAGAGTTAACAGAAGACATATACGCACACTCAAGACAGACAGCAAGTGCGTCAGACTGCTGTTCCGACAGTCTGTCCAGAAGGGCTTCCAATCAGAGAGAATCGGCCAGTCAGGGGGACTCGAACCCCCTCTACCCGATCTCGAGGACAGCCCCACCCAGGGGTCCAGGGGACGTCTCCCACTGGCCCCGCTGGCAGTCTTATAGTGCGTCCGCCAAGACTCTCCGCCAGCCCCAAGACCACACTTGCAGGCTTTCACCATTCCTGAAATATGAAAATTGTATCAAATGATCTAATTGTTTCTTATTCCCTTGGGGAGGGGCTGGTTGCCCCTCTGTCCGTTTTTTGTTTCCTCTCGAGGAGGAGTTCCGTCTTTATGGAACTTAGATTTACATTCACTTTTTCAATGGTTCCCTTTTTCCGTTTTTTGTTTCCTCTCGAGGAGGAGTTCCGTCTTTATGGAACTTAGATTTACATTCACTTTTTCAATGGTTGCCTTTTTCCTGTGGGAACCGAGGATTAGTTTGTTCTCCCTTTGCTGCTGTGGAGGCTTTAGTGCCTCTTGCTTTTAGCATATGTCTTAAAATAGAGACAAACTATCCTTATTCTTAGAAGATGAACTCCCCATAATTTACTCGTTATCTTTCTCAGTCACAACTGAGGGGCCTGCAGCACCCCAACGAGCTTCTGACTACTATTCCAGGTGAAAAGAAAAGAGAGAGATGCTTACCTCCCAAGGTTCCTTGACTGAAGAGACTGCTTCGTGTCCCGCTCTGAGCCTCAGCCTCGAGCCCCACGTTGGGCGCCACCTGCCACGGACCGGGTTCTGTCGGGATGACGGAGGACACCTAAGGGAGGAACCTGGAATAGGTGGGGAGATGGCAAACAGACAACTCACACACACTAGGAGTGGATGCTGAGTGCGATTTAATGCAGAGGATAACAAACTTTTATAGCAAAAGTCTCCATGAGAAAGGGCAAAAGGTTACACAATCTTGCTGCAGGGCTTCTTTCTTGGGTGGTCACCAGCTGGTCGCCTGAAAGGGCAAAAGGTTACACAACCTTGCTGCAGGGCTTCATTCTTGGGTGGTCACCAGCTGGTCACCTGATAGGCACTTGTTTCCGGCTTATCTCTAAGAAATATAATGGGTTTCGATGTTTTGTCATCAACTAACCATTACCTTATTTCTATAGAGGCCTTAACTGTCCCATAAGATCTTTCCTGTTCTTTCCTCAATAGCAAGGTCACCGAGGCCTACATCTAGCAAGTCTTTTAGTAAATGAAAGAGAGTAACAAGAAGTTCTTTCTAAGGGAACGTTGACAATGAGCAAGTACAAAGAGCAGTAGAAGCAGTAAAAGATTAATAGGCACTCTTATGCAGTGAAGAAAGGCAGAAACGCATCTTTTCCCAGGGGTTTTTTCAGCCTTTTCCCAGGAGTAGGCCTCTTAGAAGCCCTATTCTCCGAGGTAGACTTCGGTGAAGTCCCAAAACTTGGAGATAGGTTTCTGTAAAGCCCCATTCTCTGAGGTAGACTTCGGTGAAGTTCCAAGACTCAGAGATAGGTCTCGAAGCCCCTATCATGGTCTGATAGATGGTCTCCCATGCTAAGCAGACTCTACTGGGGTCGGCGTGGCAATGTATCTTAGTGGTAGAACACTTAAATGATGTTTAGGTTCAAATTATAGAAGGAAGTATAATTGTGCGGGAATGGGGAGAAAGTTTAAATGGGTGACATTGATGGACACATGTTGATCAAACTTATTTCTTTCTTTTTATGTCTTTTTTGTTGGTGGGGGTTGAACTCACAATGTGGGCACTGTCTGTGTGCTCCTTTGCTCAAGGCTAATCCTCTACCACTTTGAGAGACAGCACCATGCGGTTTCTGAGTGGGAAATTGGAGATAAGAGTCTCATGAGGACTTCTCTGCCAGGCTGTTTGAACCTTGATCCTCAGATCTCAGCCTTCTGAGTAGCTAGGATTACAGGCGAGAGCCTAGGATTTGAAAGCAGTCCTGTGAGACTGTCCTAAGACAGAATGCTCAGCTTCCATGGGGAGAATCCAGGAGAATCATGGAAAGCACCCACCCTGCTTTCTACTCTCTTCAGAATCACCATCCAGATGTCTGCCTCTGCAGAAAGAAACTTAATATCTCAAAAACACACAGCGGTGAACAGTGCTGCAGGCCTGATTCTGCAGCAGATCATCGGATTAGCAAGTGCAAAGCATGGAGTTCAAATCACTGTACCACAAACAGCAAACTAGGAGCTTAGCACCATCCTCCATTCTTCTAATTCCCTCCATCAGTGAGAAGGCTCAGGGTTCCAAATGACAGGAGATAGGAAGACAGAAAGAGCCTCAGGAATCATGAAAGTGTAAACAGCACCAATCAAATCACTGTGAAACAGAACCAAGAAGAAAAAGGTCTACAGTTTGAAGCCCACCTCCCAGTGGAAAGAGAAGCTGAGGTCGGCAGTGCTGTGAGCCAGGCAGCTGTGGTGGCTGCAGAGGGCAGGATGAAGGCTCCTTGTCCTCTGTGGATGGTCCCCATGACAGGAGACGGCTGCATTAACTTCACTTCCTCATTTAAGCCTGGAGTCTTGGGACATCACATTGTCTCTTTGTTTCACTTACATTTATTGGTCTCGTAGGTAAACACATTTCAGTCCCTAGCTGAGGATACTCTTGTTCGAGGGATTTTTAGTGCAATTGAGTCTGCATTGTCAACCATGTTGGAACAGCCCCTGAGAGACAGTTGTGCTTCCGTTAGACCCCTGGAAACCCCTGGGTGGGAGGGCTTTCCTCTCTGCCCTTGCCTCTGCCCCCTGCTGGGGACTGAGAGCTCAGGTGGTCCTCCATCCCCCTCCATCCTGAGGGTGTAGACAGAGTGGAAATGACCATCAGCAGCTGCCGTGCGCTGTGAAGCAGGAGTATCCACAGAGTGGACAGCACGGGAGGCTGAGGGGAAGAGGAAGGGAGGCCGCTCACCTGAGACAGGTGTAGGCATCAGGGAAGAAGGACACAGGAAGTGGCCTTGCTCCACAGGAAGCTGATGGCTGATCCCATCTCATCCACACACAGGAAGTCCTTCCCTCCCACAGTGCCCCAGTATGCACATAAGGAAGATGAAACAAAAGGAAGGCAGGCATGTCCAGAGGGACTGTGGGTACTGGGGAGGTGTCCAGAGGGACCCCGTGAATGGGAAGAGGCATCACAGAACCTGACACCCAGCTCCCACCTAGCTTCTGGGGTGAGATCCAGGGCTGCTGGCCCTGAGCACCTCCACAGCTCAGGCTCAGGGTCTGGTAGACAGTCTGTCTCAGGGCTCACTGATGTCTCTCCCGGTGTCTCTTGCACAGTAATCCGTGGCTGGGTCTGGGTGGTCACTGTGCTCAGCTCAGGGACATCTGTTTCTTGGCTGTGTCCTCAGACACTGTGACTCGAATCCTGAGAGACGGCTGCAGTTGAAGATGCCTCCTGTCCTTCGCAACAGCTTCCCTGGGACTGTGGGACCCGGCTCTATCAGTCATGACAGCCAGTGCCACCTACATGGTGCAGGCAGGAACAGATACCACGGAGGCTTGATCAGGCCAGGCTGTGGGACGCCTGCAGCAGCTGGGACAGGACATCTGAGGACAGATAACCTCAGTGCTGGGGATGGGGAGACACGGTGTGTTCTGAGTTCGGATGCAGCATCCTCACAACATCTTGACCAAATCCCAATGTCCTACATGCAGGAATGGCCATCAAGGAACCAAAGGCCCACCTGGTCTTCCAGGCCTCAGGAAAATGACTGTGACTCTCAGGAAGTATTTCTAGGGTCTAGAAGAGGCTGAGTATAAACAAGTCAGTATGAGCCCAGTGTTGCTGGCTCATGCCTGCAAACCCAGGTACTCAGGAGCCTGACATTGGAGGATTGTGGTTCAAAGCTAGTCCAGGCAGAAAAGTCCCTGAGACTCTTAACTCCAATAAACCACCAGAAAACAGGAAGTGGCACTGTGGCTCAAGCGGTAGAGTGGTCTCCTTGAGCTGAAGAGCTGAGGGACAGTGCCCAGGCCCAGAGTTCAAACACCATGACCAAAAAAAAAAAAAAAACAAAAAACAAAACAAAACAAAAAAAAGAGTGAGCAGCGAGTGTCTGCTCTTCCTCTAGGAAGATGAAGGACAGCATGGGGAAGGCCAGATGGACAATGCTCAGGATCTCTGCAGATGGAGAGAAACCAATGGAATTGGAGAGCAATGTCCTCACCCAGCAAGGAGCCCTTAACACCCTAGACAGCTCTGTGGGGGATGCTGCATCCCGTGGAGAGGCCAGGCACACAGAGGAGTCAAGGCGTGAGCTCCACAGCTGCTTCTGTGACTGCCATGACTTCAGTGTGTGCCCAGCGCCCCCTGCTGGTGCTGATAGCCCTGCAGGGAGGTTTGTGTCTGGCCCACACTGGATTTCCTGCACTGTGTCTCTAGCACAGTAATAGACGGCCGTGTCCTCCACTCTCAGGCTGTTCATCTGCAGGTAAAGTGTGTTCTTGCTGTTGTCTCTGGAGGTGATGAAGCGGCCCTTCGCAGAGTCTGCATAGTATATGCTACTACTATCACTACTGATGTATGAGAGCCACTCCAGCCCCTTCCCTGGAGCCTGGCGGACCCAGTTCATGCCATAGCTACTGAAGGTGAATCCGGAGGCCGCACAGGAGAGTCTCAGGGACCCCCCAGGCTGCACCAAGCCTCCCCCAGACTCCACCAGCTGCACATCACACTGCACACCTGCAAACACAGAGAATCCTGGTCAGCAATGGTCACACATATCCACTGTTCCTCCCACTCATGTCCATTTGCACACTGTTTCCCTTGCTCCCCATGAATCACCTTTCAACAGAGCAACAAGGAGAACCCAGCGCAGCCCCAGCTCCATGGTGGTGGTCTGTGCTCAGTCACTGGTGGAATCAGCTCACAGAGCTAAGGTCAGAGATGGGCTGGTTTTCATGGGCAGAGGGACGTCCTATTTGCATGTCCTCTGCTATAAAGCAGCTCTGGAGAGAAGTCTAGAGATTAGGCTCCCAGAGCAGAGGTGACTGTGCTGGAAGAGTTTGGTGACAATGGTCACCTTGGAGACATCATGACACACTGACCACGTGTTGTGGTTCACACTGTACCTGCAGGTCCTTGGGAGCCTGAGGCAGAGTGTGAGAACACTGAGAGCTGTCTGGGGTGCAGAGGGACACACATGTCCTCTCACTCTGCCATTGTGCCTGGTGATCGTTCTGTCAGCATTTCTGATCACATACAAAACACAAAGTGCAACACGCGTGTGACCTCCTTGTGCACACGCAAGAGTGTAAAACAATGGTGAATGTGTTTCCACACTGGCAGCATCTCCCATGGTATCAGCTCCATGCCTGGTCTGGGCCTGCACATCCAGGAGGGCCCATAGTTCCTGGTGTGTTCCAAGAGAATGGTACTCATCTGTGAGCTCTGCTGAGCCTCCTTCCTGAGCCCAGATCAGGTGTGGTTTTGTCCATCTTTACCTCATTCTGACCTTCAACGAAGATGACCAGGGTTCAGGCATACACTTGACAGTGGGTTCTGGTGTATCAGCTGTCACTGTCTAGCTTTCTTGTTTGTTTATTCTTTTTATATGTGTTTATTTGTAACAATATCATTGGTGTTGTTAATCTCAATAATAATAATCTCAATAATTCACAATCCATAACAATGTGCTCATAGGTAAATGGGTATTTGGTAATTATGGACAAATGACTCGTGTCTTCTTCAAATTGTTTTATCAGTCCTTTGACAGTTTTCTTGAATCAGTCTTTCAATTCATTGGTTGCAGTGATTCCTAGTGCTGGACAAGATGGTGAACTGAACTTGAACAACACTTTTGTCCATGAACAAGAATCCACTGACACAAAGCTGAGCAGATTCTGAGGAAGAGAGGAAAGGAGAAGCGACAGGGAGTTCCTGGGGACCCAGGACATGGCAGAGAAGCAGTCAGGGTGGAGAAACTGTGGCACTGAGCTCTGACTGGTGTGCAGCTCTCCTGCTGGGGAAGAGAGCTGAGCTGTCAACAGGTACCATCAGGTGTGCTCACAGAGGTACTGGCAGCTCCTCCGTGGGACACACGGCTGGGGACCTTGCTGCCACCCCAGAAACTTGGAGGTGGAGACAGATCTGCTGTGAGAAGCTCTCAGTGTAAAGAGAGGCTGAGGTTGGCAGTGCTGTGAGCCAGGCAGCTGTGGTGGCTGCAGAGGGCAGGATGAAGGCTCCTCGGCCTCTGTAGATGGTTCCCATGACAGGTGATGGCTGCACTCGGCTCACTTCCTCATTTAAGCCTGGAGTCTTGGGACAGCACATTGTCTCTTTGTTTCACTTACATTTACTGGTCTCATAGGTAAACACATTTCATTCCCTAGCTGAGGATACTCTTGTTCGAGGGATTTTTAGTTCAATTGAGTCTGCATTGTCAACCATGTTGGAACAGCCCCTGAGAGACAGACAGGCCTCTGTTAGACCCCTGGTAACCCCTGGGTGGGAGGGCTTTCCTCTCTGCCCTTGCCTCTTCCCCCTGCTGGGGACTGAGAGCTCAGGTGGTCCTCCATCCCCCTCCATCCTGAGGGTGTAGACAGAGTGGAAATGACCATCAGCAGCTGCTGTGCGCTGTGAAGCAGGAGTATCCACAGAGTGGACAGCACGGGGGCTGAGGGGAAGAGGAAGGGAGGCCGCTCACCTGAGACAGGTGTGGGCATCAGGGAAGAAGGACACAGGAAGTGGCAGTGCTCCACAGGAAGCTGATGGCTGATCCCATCTCATCCACACACAGGAAGTCCTTCCCTCCCACAGTTCCCAGTGAGCACGTGAGGAAGAGAAAACAAAAGGAAGGCAGGCATGTCCAGAGGGACTGTGGGGTCCTGGGGAGGTGTCCAGAGGGACCCCAGGAATGGGAGGAGGGAGTGTCACAGAACCTGACACCCAGCTCCCACCCAGCTTCTGGGGTGAGATCCAGGGCTGCTGGCCCTGAGCACCTCCGCAGCTCAGACTCAGGGTCCGGTGGACAGTCTGAGTCATGGCTCACACTGACGTCTCTCCCAGTGTCTCTTGCACAGTAATCTATGGCTGGGTCCCGGTGGTCACCGTGCTCAGCTCATGGACATCTGTTTCTTGGCTGTGTCCTCAGACACTATTACTCAAATCTTGAGAGACGGCTGCAGTTGAAGATGCCTCCTGTCCTTCCCAGGAGCTTCCCTGGGGCTGTGGGGCCTGGCTCCATCAGTCATTACAGCCAGTGCCACCTACATGGTGCAGACAGGAACAGAGACCACGGGGGCTTGGCCAGGCCAGCCTGTGGGATGTCTGCAGCTGCTGAGACAGGACATCTGAGGACAGAGAACCTCAGTGCATGGGATGGTGAGACATGGTGTGTTCCGAGTTCGGATGCAGCATCCTCACAACATCTTGACCAAATCCCGATGTCCCACACCCAGGAACGTCCAGCAAGAAAACAAAGGCCCGCTTGGCATTCCAGGGGTCAGGAAAATGTCTGTGACTCACAGGAAGTATTTCCAGGGTCTGGCAGAGGCTGAGTGTAAACAAGTGAGTATGAGCCCAGTGTCGCTGGCTCATGCCTATAAACCCAGGTACTCAGGAGCCTGAGATCTGAGGATGGTGGTTCAAAGCCAGCCCAGGCAGGAAAGTCTCTGAGACTCTTATCTCCAATAAACCACCAGAAAACCAGAAGTGGCACCGTGACTCTAGCGGTAGAGCACTCACCTTGAGCTGAAGAGCTGAGGGACAGCGCCCAAGCCCAAGAATTCAAACCCCAGGTCTGACCAAAAAAAAAAAAAAAGAGAGAGAGCAGCTAGTGTCTCCTCTTCCTCTAGGAAGATGAAGGACAGCATGGGGAAGGCCACATGGACTCTGCTCAGGAGCTCGGCAGATAGAGAGAAACCAGTGGAATTGGAGAGCAATATCCTCACCCAGCAAGGAGCCCTTAACACCCTAGACAGCTCTGTGGGGGATGCTGCATCCTTTAGAGAGGCCAGGCACACAGAGGAGTCAGGGCCTGAGCTCCACAGCTGCTCCTGTGACTGCCATGACCTCAGTGTGTGCCCAGCGGCCCCTACTGGTGCTGACTGAGCATGACCTCAGTGTGTGCTGAGCACCCCCTGCTGGTGCTGACTGAGCATGACCTCAGTGTGAGCCCAGCGCCCCCTGCTGCTGCTGAACATCCTGCAGGGAGGTTTGTGTCTGGCCCACACTGGATTTCCTGCACTGTGTGTCTCTAGCACAGTAATAGACAGCCGTGTCCTCCATTCTCAGGCTGTTCATCTGCAGGTAAAGTGTGTTCTTGCTGCTGTCTCTGGAGATGGTGAAGCGGCCCTTCACGGAGTCTGTGTAGTATTTGGTACCACTATAACTAATGTATGAAATCCATTCCAGCCCTTTCCCTGGAGCCTGGCGGACCTAGCTCATCGAGTAATCACTGAAAGTGAATCCGGAGGCTGCACAGGAGAGTCTCAGGGACCCCCTAGGCTGCACCAAACCTCCCCCAGACTCCGCCAGCTGCACCTCACACTGCACATCTGCAAACACAGAGAATCCTGGTCAGCAATGGTCACACACATCCACGGTTCCTCCCACTCGTGTCCATTTGCACACTCAGTATCCCTTGCTCCCCATAAATCACCTTTCAACAGAGCAACAAGGAGAACCCAGTGCAGCCCCAGCTCCATGGTGGTTGTCTGTGCTCAGTCACTAGTGGAATCAGCTAACAGAGCTCAGGTCAGAGATGGGCTGGTTTTCATGGGCAGAGGGACATCTTATTTGCATGTCCTCTGCTATAAAGCAGCTCTTGGAGGAAGTCTAGAGATTGGGCTCCCAGAGCAGAGGTGACTGAGCTGGAGGAGTTTGGTGACAATGGTCACCTTGGAGACATCATGACGCACTGACCACGTGCTGTGGGTCACACTGTACCTGCAGGTCCTTGGGAGCCTGAGGCAGAGTGTGAGGACACTGAGAGCTGTCTGGGGTGCAGAGGGACACACATGTCCTCTCACTCTGCCATTGTGCCTGGTGATCGTTCCGTCAGCATTTCTGATCACACACAAAATACAAAGTGCAACATGGTGTGACCTCCTTGTGCACACGCAAGAGTGTAAAACAATGGTGAATGCATTTCCACACTGGCAACATCTCACGTGGTATGAGCTCCATGCCTTGTCTGGGCCTGCACAGCCACGGAGGGCCCACATTTCTCTGGTGTTCCAGGAGAATGATGCTCACCTGTGAGCTCTGCAGAGCCTCCTTACTGAGCCCATATTAGGTGTGGCTTTGCCACACTTTACTTCATTCTGACCACTAACCCAGGTGGCTAGGGTTCAGGCATACATTTGACAGTGGGCTATCGTGTATCATTTGTCTCAATCTATATTTCTCATTCATATGTGTTGTGTATTTGTAACAATATCATATGTATTGTGTATTTGTGATTACCTCAGTGAACACACTCATAACAAAACATAGGTAATTAAATATTTGGTAAGTATCAACAAATGACTCATGTCTTCTTCAAATTGTTTTATCAAGTCTTTGACATTTTCCTTGGTTCTGTCTTTCGATTCATTGGTTACCGTGATTCCTAGTGCTGGACAAGATGGTGAGCTGAATGTGAACAACACTTTTGTAGATGAACAAGAATCCACTGACACAAAGGTGAGCAGATTCTGAGGAAGAGAGGAAAGGAGAAGCGATAGGGAGTTTCTGGGACCCAGGACATGGCAGAGAAGCAGTCAGGGTAGAGAAACTGTGGCACTGAGCTCTGACCTGGTGTGCAGCTCTCCTGATGAGGAAGAGCAGCTGAGCGTTCAGCAGGTAACATCAGGTGTGCTCACAGAGGGACTGCCAGCTGTGCCATAGAGCACATGGCTGAGGACCTCGCTGTGACCCCAGGGCTTGGAGGTGGAGACTGATCTGCTCTAAGAAGCCGACCTCAAGGCCTGGACTCCAGCCAGTGTATTGATCTGTGTCCCTCAGGCCTAGGAATTGTCCTGTGGAGAAGACTCTGTGGAGCAGTAGAGATGTGGTGGTGTACAGAGCACATTGTCATAGACCTCGTGTTTATATAAGTTATGAGAAGCTTGGGAAGGAAGGCAAATTGCTGGCAGGAAGCACGCACAGCTGAAGTGATGGGATGCCAGGCAGAAGGCTTGAGGCTGGAGGCCTGGGGGGATGCTGTCCTGGAGACTGTGCCTGTCAGGCCTGCCAGGGCAGACAAGGTGCACCATGTTCCCAGCTGAGGGTCCTGCCCGGGAATATCCCAGAAACCCAGCCACGGGCCTCTGTCACAGCTGCGCCGTGGTTGCTGAGAGTCTCTCAGCAGCCACTCCACGCTGGGCGCTCAGCACATAGGAATTCCCTGCTGCGCCCACAGAGAAGCTTCAGCCACTGGCCCTCAGCCAGAGCTCTGTGGCCCTTCCCAGGGAAGGTCTTCTGATGAAGTGAGGCTGCTGTGCTTGGCCTTAGACTATTGCTATTTGCACAGAAGTCTGCATAAATGTGCAGATAATGAAAACAAACATGAATAATTGCTGGGTTTACATTGCTTTTTGTTTGCTCAGTATTGTAATTGTATTTGAGTGTGAGGTGAGAAAACATGGGATCTAAGAAGTAGGAAGTTGGAAATATTTAAGAGGTTGATCCCTCCTTCCCAAGCGCAGTCCTTTCTCCATGCTTTGTTCCAAGTTCTTCATTCCTCATCCACTCAGGCTTTGGATTTGCTTTGTCAGGGTGGATTCCAGCTAGCTCCCCTTTTCTCTTTCTTTCCCCTCTTTTAAAAGAAATTTTTATGTTTATTAAACATGATCTGCAGAGGGGTTACAGTTATGTGTCAGTAAGAGCTCCTTCCTTCCTACCTTCTTTTCTTCCTTCCTTCCTTGCTTCCTTCCTCATATCCTTCCTTTCTTTCACCAGTTATTGGGCTTGAATATGTTCTGGGCACATTAGTGCTCAAGGCTAGCTCTCTACCCCTTTGAACCATAGCTCCATTTCCAGTTTTCTGGAGGTTAATTGGAAATAAGAGTCTCAATGTCTTTCCTCCCAGGGCTGGCTTCAAACTGCAATCCTAAGGCCTCATCATCCTGAGTAGCTAGGATTACAAGAGTGTGCCACTAGCTCCTGGCCAAGAGTACACTTCTTTCAGGACAATGTCACCCTTTCCCTCCCTTTCTTTCTTTTTCTATCCCACCCCACTCCCTATTCCCTCTCTTGAAATGTGACTACTTCTAACCCTAGAACTTTCTTCCTTATAACTTTGTGCTGCTGCATTAAGATACTACTGGACCAGAACCCACAGAGAGAGGAAATGGGCATGAGTTTCCATGTCTGCATGTGTGTGTGTGTGTGTGTGTGTGTGTGTGTGTGTGTGTGTGTGTGTGTATCTGTCATGACTGGTTTACATATAAGTAACCAGTCATCTTGAGGAGACAGCACCTGTGCCTCTGACCTCTTTCTCCTCAGCCTATGACACTGGATTTGGGGTGTGATCAGAGGTGTAGATAGTGGACAGCAAGTGTGAGGGTTTCCTTCACATCACCAGAGTTTCCCCAGCACTGGATAAAACAATATATATTGCATAGTTCTACAGAAATAAAAGGAAAATTTATTATCTATAGGCTGAAAATGCTGGCCTTTTTGATTTCATGGAATGTACTCACTTTGAAGCATAAGCAACTTCTTCTGCAGACATCTTACCTGATTTCAAACTGTACCATGGCAGGAAATAAAGAATTATTCTCTATCAAGTTGTGCTTCCCCCAAAATAACCTATGCTTTTTTTTTTCAAATTTCCTAGCTTGAGCATAAATCTCACTTGGAAATTGTGTTATGTTCAGCTCTCTCTTCAAAAGCCAAGCCCTGTCATGAAATTGTGTTACGTTCAGCTCTCTCTTCAAAAGCCAAGCCCTTTCATGAATATATACTTTATTAAAATTTCCTTCTAGCCAGGCACTGGTGGCTCATGCCTGTAAACCTGTGTCTCTCCTGGTGAGACACAATAACAGCAGGGAGAGGACTAATAGCAATGTTGTTCTGGGAAGCAGAGATAACCTGAGCACTATCCTCTTTTTGCACATGAAGAACTGCAATCATCCGTGCACATTGTGAGACACCTGTCAGTCAGGAAAGTTGCCTCGCTAGACCCAAGTCCCCACCTCCACATTGTCCCTCTTCCTCCACTTGTCTCTGAAGAACCTTTTCTCCAAGCCTTTACACAAACACAGACTTGATATTGAAGAATGGCAGCCTGGCTTTTGAGTGACCCAGGACTGGAAATACCCCCCGGCAGATCAATGTGGCACATTAAAAGCCAAGCCTGTTGAAGGTTGCTGTGGAGGTGTTGTGTGGATGGAATTAAATTACTCACTAATTCCTCTCTGGCAACCTGGGTGGATCTGAGTGGGAACAGCCTAGAGAGGATGACATTCCACCACAGAGGCAGCATCTACAGCATGCTCTGTGGGAGGTTCTAGATCTCTTCCTGATGGCCAATCGCAGGAGCTCCCACCCACCCTGCACCTCCACAGCCCACGTGCTCCAGGAGGACCTGGCCCCAGCCGGTCCTCAGTCCCATGTGCACAGGCTGAGGACAGTGAGGTGATGCAGGTGAAATCCCAAGTGATGACTGTTTTTACACTCATCCATGTGCCCTTAGCTACAGATATCCCCTGAGCTTCCCGCCAGAGTCCATAGAGAGGAGGACAGGACAGTCCAGGGCATGCAGCCTGGGGACACCAGTGAGATCTTCCCAGGCATGCAGGAGCCAGGGCCACAGCCTCATTGACCTCTAGGTCCCGGTACTGGGCCTGGGATCTAGGGACTGAATACAGGCTACATCTGCAGGGGATTTAGTGTGAAGGACAGGTGTGGACAACACAGAGATAATTAAGAACACATATGTCCTTCTAGGATCAAGCAGCAACCAGATTCAGAACTGTGGCTGAGAATCCCATCCAACCTCATCATCTACAGAGTGTGTAGAAAGGGACAGAGGCAGAGGAGCTGGTGGGAGTCACTGGGCCTCTGCAGGTAACCACAGCTCAGCAGTGCCCACGACTGCGCTCTGTGGGTCACAGAGCAGCTCCCGGTCCTTACAGATGGCCCCTCACATGTCACCAGCAGGAGGAAAGGGGACAACGGGATCAAAGCCGGGCTGGACGCCTGGGCTGTGTGAGCAGAATGGTGGGCCTTGAAATTCATCAGTGACATGGTGTCCCTGGCTCTGCACAACATCCCATCTGCTCCGACTTGAGTTTAAAGACTGATCTAGCCAGGGAGTCCATTGCGTCTCTCCCGAGTCTGAGAGGAAAGGACTGAGCAGGGTTCTTGACCTTCCTCAGATTTGACCTCAGTGATCTCAGCAGTGTCCACCAACTGTGCATTGTGCTGTCTTGTCCTCTCAAGAATGTATCATCAGGAGGGGGGATCAAGATGGCTATAGGACAATAGGGAAATGCCACAGCTCTCTCCTACCAAAAAGAGAGTTCAAGTTCCAATGCTTAATTTCCCCAAGAGACTAACAGCAACAAAAAGACAAATACCCAGAGAAAAACAGGAGGGGGGAAAATAAAGAAAGAAAAGGAAGAATTTCAGAACAGAGAAGCGTGAAGACCCCTCCTCCAGCCTTTACTGGATGCTCGGCAACACGCCAAGCCACAGCCAGCCTGGCCCAGTGGGGGCTTCTGGAGTCCCCAGAGACACAGGGGTCATCTGCATATCACCTGTGCAGAAGACACCTGAGGTACCAGTGTCAGGCCCGCTGATCATGAAGAACAGAGAAACCTCCAAGCCAGGAGCCTGCACAAAGATCCCACCCTCACCCCTCACTCTCTGAGCAGAGGGGCTCCATCCTGCCAAAGCCATTCGGCCCCACAGCGGGAACCCCAGAACTACACGGGTCACCCACAGAATGCCAGAGCAGAAGACCTGCAAGGTACTTGTGCTGATCTGAAGAGCACAAACAGAGACAAACCCAGCACTAAGAACCTGTATGGAGACCCCTCCCTCACCCCTTGGCTGGAGACCCATCCCGCAGCACTGACTTGAACAGCATCAACAGAGGCAGTGACAGAGGAGAAACATGCAGAGCCACCACTGCCTATCCCAGCCCACAAGCATCTCAACTAAACTCTGCAGCAGCAACCAGTGACCTACATCACACAGAAACAACAAGTAGCTCCAGGGTGAGTACCCCATAGGGGACAGTGTGTCCCTCAAAGGAGACCAGAGCTGGTGGGTACCCCCAGACCCCTACCCCAACACCTGAACTACAGGACCCACTAAAACTGGGAACTTTTTTAGAGCTCCACCAGCCCATGGAGCACCTTGATCAAGAGCATCCCTGGAAGGGAGCTTAAACACCCAAGCCAGGAACAACGCCCCTGGGTCACAACAGCCAACAGGAGAAAAAACTTGAACTGTGTACTCCAGGCTGCATAACCCAGGTGTGATACACAGCAGCACAGGTCCAACTGGCATGCCTCTGGCCGGGGACTGGGAGCCAGGACCAGGCCTGGGGATTGGGTGCCTGAGCAACACAACCAATTTCTCCCGATTAAAGCCAGAATCTGAGCATACACCTCAGCGGGGGGGGGGAGGGAACTGCACCCCCTGGGAATCATGCCTGTGACAGCAAAAGACCTGGGTGTCCAGAGCAAGAGAACCAGAAGCCCAAACCCCACCAGAACCCAACCCATATATCCCAGGCTGGGAATTGGACAACTCAGGCTGCCAGGACTTAATAGTCAGGAGCTCAGGCAGGTAAGGTGGCTCAGCAGTACATTGCTTGTCTTGTGTGCATAAGACCCTGGATCTGATCCCTCAGCACCACACAAGCAGAAAGGGCCAGAAGTGGCACTGTGGTTCAAATGGAGGGCACCAGCCCTGAGTTGAAGAGCTGAGGGACAGCACCCAGGCCCAGAGTTCATGCCCACAACCAGCCAAAAATAAAACAAAACAACAACAACAAAAACATCAGGAGCCCATAGCAGACTCCAGAGAGTACATCCAGCACACCCAATCTTGCCAAGAGCACCTGTAGGAGTAAACAGGAGTAGTCTAGTCCACTCAATCCTTCTAAAGGTGGGAACTGCCAGTGATCTACAGCAGAGAGCCGAGAGCACTATGTGGGTCAGACCAGCAGCTGGAGGTCTGCCCCCAACAGAACCGAGACCAGGTACAGACTCTCTCTGCCAGCCCAGAAACAGCAACCAAGCAAAGACAGACACCTATTGACCAAAAAATAATTTCAGATTAGTCTCCAATAATCCCTGAATCCCCATGCAAAACTCACAGAGAAAAATTACAAGGTTTATCAACACCCAGAATAGCAAGCTACCCCCAAAAGCCAGCAGTCACCCAAGGGAGAGCCCCAGTGGGAGCAAAGCAGGAATGGAAGATGAAAGCTACATTCAAGAGATGCTGGAAGAAATGACTCAAGAATTAAAGTGAGAAATAGTCCAGAAATTTAAATAACACCGGGAACAAACTATTGAAAGAGATACAGGGTCTCAAACAGGAGGTACATGCAAAAATAGAGGCAGTATGGGCTGGGAAGGTGGCTCAGTGGTAGAGTGCTTGCCTTGCATGCCTGAGGCCCTGGGTTCCATTCCTCAGCACAACATAAGCAAAAAGAAAAAAAGCTGGAAGTGGCACTGTGGCTCAAGTGGTAGAGCACTAGCCTTGAGCTGAAGAGCTGAGGGACAGTGCCCAGGCCCAGAGTTCAGGCCCCACGACTGGACCCACCCCCAAAAAATAGAGGCAGTACATACCTCACTAAGAGGTGAGATTAGTACTTTGAGAACCAACATCGAATTCATAAATGAGTCCATTTCCTCCATGCAAACCACAATGGAAGCCATAGTTTACAGAGTGAACGAAATGGAATTTAGAGTGTCAGATACAGAAGACAGAATACACCAACTGGACCAAAAAGTCACAGATATGGAAAAAATCACTTAAATTATGCCAAAGGGAAATCCAAGAGCAAGCAGATAGTTCCAAGAAATTTAACCTTCGTATAATTGAGGTGGACGAAGGTGAAGAATATCAAAGCAAGGGAATGCAACACTTATTCAACAAGATTATCAATGAAAATTTCCCCCATCTTAGCTGGGTGCTGGTGGCTCACCCCTGTAATCCTAGCTACTCAGGAGGCTGAGATCTGAGGATCGAGGTTCAAAGCCAGCCCGGGCAGGAAAGACCGTGAGACTCCTATCTCCAATAAACCACCAGAAAACCAGAAGTGGCGCTGTAGCTCAAGTGGTAGAGTGCTCGCCTTGAGCTGAAGAGCTGAGGGACAGTGCCCAGGCCCAGAGTTCAAGCCCCACGACCGACCAAAAAAAAAAAAAAAAGAAAAAGAAAATTTCCCCCATCTTAAAAGAGAACATCTTACCTACATAACAGAAGCATATAGAACACCTAACAAGCAGGATCCCAGGGGAAACACTTCTAGACACATTATAGTAAAAATGATAGATCTGAATAATAAGGAAACAATCTTGCATACAGTAAAAACAAAGAAGGAGCTATACTACAACGGGAAAAAATTAGAATCACTGCAGATCTCTCCACACAGACACTGAATGCAAGAAAGGCCTGGGAAAGTATGATCCAAGCCCTGAGAACCAATAATTGCCAGCTCAGACTGATATACCCGGCAAAGTTAGCATTCACATTCGATGGAGAAATTAAAATTTTAATAGTAAAGAAAACTAAATGAATTCATAAACAATAATCCAGCATTACAAAGAATACTAAAAGGGGGAACACAACCTGAAGAAAGCAAGCAGGAACGGGGACCTGCACCAGATAGGTATTAATAGAAGTCTAACTTAGTAAGCACGGGAGGAAAGGAAAGAAGAAAAACTTAGGAAAACAGGAAATGGCAGGGACAACAATACATCTCTCTATAATAAACATTAATGGACTTAATTCACCAATAAAGAAAAAGAACTGCAGATTGGATCAGAAAACATGACCCATCCATCTGTTGCCTTCAGGAGACCCACCTCTCAGCCAAACATACAAACAAATTTAGAGTAAAGGGTTGGGAAAGGATCTACCAATCAAATGCCCCCCGTAAGAAAGCAGGTGTAGCTATCCTGATATCTGACAAAATAAACTTTTCATTAAAATCAGTACAGAAAGACAAGGACGGACACTACATATTAGTACAGGGAACAATCCAAGAGGAGGATTTTACCATCATCAACTTATATTCCCAAATATTGGTGCACCCAGATATGTTAAACAAATACACTCAAACTTACAGAATAAAATAGATCCCAATACGATAATACTAAGAGACTTTAACACACCACTCTTACCAAAGGACAGGTCTACCAACCAGAGGATTGGCAAAGAAGCCACCGAATTAAGTGAGGCCATACTTCAAGCAGAATTAACTGACATCTACTGAGTATTTCACCCTAAAACAACACAGTACACATTCTTCTCAGCAGCTCATGGAACTTTCTCCAAAATAGACCATATCACAGTTCATGCAAGGAACTTAAGCAAATACAAAGGGACCGACATAGTCCCCTGTATCCTATCTGACCACAGTGGAATCAAGCTAGTTCTCAATAACAAAGCATACTGCAGAAATTTCTCTAATACATGGAAATTGAACAGCACACTTCTTAGCAATGTCTGGGTAATGGAAGAGATCAGAGAAGAAATAAAACATTTCCTACAACTCAATGAAAATGAAAACACCTCACAAAGAAACTTGTGGGAAACAGCAAAAGCAGTCCTGAGGGGCAAATTTATTGCCCTCAGGGTCCACCTCAAGAAAATAGAGATAGACCAAGTAAATAATCTCATGCTGCAATTAAAACAGCTACAAAAACATTTTAAAAATGGAATCTAAAGTTACTAGATGGAACCAGATAATCAAATTAAGAGTGGAAATTAATGAGATAGAGAATAGGAAAATTATAAATAAAATTAATAAAACAAAAAGCTAGTTCTTTGAAAAAGTAAATAAAATTGATAGACCATTGGCAAGATTAATTAAGTAAAGAAGAGAGGAAACCTAAATTAACAAGATCAGGGATGCCACAAGAACAATCATAACAAATACCTGATATCCAAACAATTATAAAGAACTATTTTCATAAGTTATACTCTCTAAAGAAAGAAAACCTAGCAGAAATGGATGCATTTTTAGAGAAATACAAGTTGCCCAAACTGAGAAAAGAAAAAGTAAATTTATTATATATCTTACAACAATATATAGGAAGCAATCAGATGTCTTCCAACAAGGAAAAGCCCAGGACCAGATGGATTCACAACAGAATTCTATAAGACCTTTAAAAGAGAACTAATACCCATACTCCTCAAGCTCTTCAGAGAAACAGAGAAGGAGGGAGCTATCCCAAACTCATTCCACGATGCCAATATCACACTCATCCCCAAACCAGGCAAAGGCCCAACAAAAAAAGGAGAACTACAGACCAATCTCCTTGATGTACACAGATGCAAAGATCCTTAACAAAATTATAGCTAACAAAATCCAGAAACACATAAAAAAATTCATACACTTTGACCAGCTGGCTTCATCACAGAGATGCAGGGATGGTTTAACATATGTAAATCAATAAATCTAATCCAACACATCAACAGGGCCAAGGTCAAGAATCACATGATTATCTCCACTGTGCAGAAAAAGCTTTTGATAAAATACAGCATTCATTCATGTTAAAAGCTCTGGAGAAAATAGGAATATAAGGAACATTCCTTCAAACAATAAAAGCCATATGCAACAGACCAATAGCCATATTATACTTAATGGGGAAAATCTATAGCCAATTCTCCTAAAATCAGGAACAAGGCAAGGATGCCCACTGTCTCCACTCTTCTTCAATATAGTCCTGGAACCCTTAGCCAGGGCAATAAGGCAAGAAAAAAGACATTAAAGGTATCTGCATAGGGAAAGAAGAAGTTAAACTATCCCTTTTTGCATATGACATGATACTATACCTTCATGATCCCAAAAACTCTATCTCCAAACTCTTAGAAATTATAAATCACTTTGACAAAGTAGCAGGATATAAAATCAACCCACAAAAATCAGTCGCCTTCCTGTACACTGACAATGTACAAGCAGAGAGGGAAATAAAGGAAGTAACCCCATTCACAATAACCGGCCAAAAAATAAAAATATTTAGGAATTAACCTAACCAAAGATATAAAAGAACTATGTAATGAAAACTATTAAAACTGAAAGAAAAAAATTACAGAAGGCACCAGGAAATGGAAAGACCTCCCATGCTCTTGGATAGGCAGACTTAATATAGTGAAAATGGCCATGCTGCCAAAATTAATATACAAATTCAATGCAATTCCTATTAAAATCCCAATGATGTACATTTCTGAAATTCAGAACACAGTCCAAAAATTCATATGGAGCAACAAAAGTCCTAGAATAGCCAAAACAATTCTAGGCAAACAAGACAACATGGGAGGGATCTCAATGCCGAACTTCAAACTCTACTATAGAGCCATACTAACAAAGACAGCCTGGCACTGGAACAAACACAGACCGGAAGACCAATGGAAAAGAATAGAAGATACAGAAATAAAACCACACAACTACAGTCAGCTGATATTTGACAAAGGAGCCAAAGACATACAGTGGAAGAAACACAGCCTCTTCAACTACTGGTGCTGGGCGGCCACATCTAGAAAACTAAAAGTGGACCTCAGCCTATCACCATGCACCAACATTAACTAAAAATGGAATAAAGACTTTAACATCAAACCTGAATCTCTGAAAGTACTTCAGGACAGAGTAGGAGAGACACTTGAACTAATAGGCATAGGAAGGAACTTCCTGAACAGAGTCCCAGGGTCACAACAAATCAGAAAGAGACTCTACAAATGGGACTACTTTAAAATAAAAAGTTTCAGCACAGCTAAAGTTATAGCAACAAAGCTAGAAAGATAACCAAGCAACTGGGAAAAAATATTTACCAGCAATATATCAGACAAGGGGTTAATATCCAGTATATACAGGGAACTCAAGAAACTAATCCCTCCCAAACCTAACAAACCAATTACTAAATGGGCAAAAGAGAGACTTCTAAAGAGAGACTTCTCAGATGAGATTAAAATGGCAAAGAAACACATGAGGAAATGTTCACCATCCCTGGTTGTGAAGGAAATGCAAATAAAGACAACCCTGAGATACCACCTTACCCCAGTCAGAATGGCCCACATCCTCAAGTCAGCCAATGACAAATGCTGGAGGGGATGCAGAGAAAGAGGAACCCTATTACACTGCTGGTGGGAATGTACACTTATACAACCACTTTGGAAAGCAGTCTGGAGAGTCCTCAGAAAGCTAAATATTGACCTCCCCTATGACCCCGCCACACCACTTCTGGGCATCTATCCTGAACAACAGGAACCAGGATACAAGGACACATGCACCTCCATGTTTATTGCACCACGGTTCACAACAGCTAGGATATGGAAACAACCCAGATGCCCCACCACAGATGAATGGATCCAAAAATTGTGGTACCTATACACAATGGAATATTATAAAGCCATTAGAAAGGACAAAATAATGGCATTTTCAGGGAAATGGATGGAGCTAGAAGAAATCATGTTGAGTGAGGTAAGCTAAGAGCAAAGAGGCAAATGGTACATGGTCTCCCTGATAAGTGGATGTTAAATCCAACATGTTAGGTGATACAACAAAATTAACAAGACTTAAGAAACAAAGGCCTTCCACTCACCTGGTCGAATCACTACTAAATAACCCATGCTGCTGATCACATATATGCACACCGGAGGTAAACCAGGAGGATGACACAGAACTAGAGGGAATCGGGGAAAAACATACAACAGCAGGACCCATCAGCTGCACTGGACATTGATCAAAATGAGCTAAGTAACTCAATGGCAGTGATGGGTGGAGGAAAGCAGTGGGAAAGAGGGAACAGCTCATGAAATGTACATACCACCCAATGTGGAAGAAATAACTGTATAGTCACAGCTCATAGAACTCATAATTGTTATAGACCACGATAGACAATTTGCCCCCTGAAAGTAAGAATGTGTTTGTGACTTTAACTAAGCATCACTATCTCACAATACTGTGAAATTTGGGGAATTATGTAATCAAGTAATCACAATACAGAATTTGAAAGAAAAAAAAGAATACATCATCAACTACAACAAACACATGTCAATGAAAGACAGAACAAGCTGTGTTCTGAGGGGTTGGAGAACAGTAAGGAGAACACAGTAGACAGCTCTGTGGGGGACACTGCATCCTGTGGAAAGGCTGGGCACACAGAGGAGTCAGGGCCTGAGCTCCACAGATGCTCCTGTGACTGCCATGACCGACCTCAGTGTGTGCCCAGCACCCCCTGCTGGTGCTGAGCTTCCTGCAGGGAGGTTTGTGTCTGGCCCACACTGGATTTCCTGCACTGTGTGTCTCTAGCACAGTAATAGATGGCCATTTCCTCCACTCTCAGGCTGTTCATCTGCAGGTAAAGTGTGTTCTTGCTGTTGTCTTTGGAGGTAGTGAAGCGGCCCTTCACAGAGTCTGCATAGTATATGTTACTATTATCATAGATGGATGAAATCCACTCCAGCCCCTTCCCTGGAACCTGGTGGATCCAGCTCATCCAGTAATTACTGAAGTCGAATCCGGAGGCTGCACAGGAGAGTCTCAGGGACCCCCCAGGCTTCACCAAGCCTCCCCCAGACTCCACCAGCCGCACCTCACACTGCACACCTGCAAACACAGAGAATCCTGGTCAGCAATGGTCACACACACCCACTGTTCCTCCCACTCATGTCCATTTGCACACTCAGTGTCCCTTGCTCCCCATAAATCACCTTTCAATAGAGCAACAAGGAGAACCCAGCACAGCCCCAGCTCCATGGTGGTGGTCTGTGCTCACTGGTGGAATCAGCTCACAGAGCTCAGGTCAGGGATGGGCTGGTTTTCATGGGCAGATGGACGTCCTTTTTGCATGTCCTCTGCTATAAAGCAGCTCTGGGGGGAAGTCTCAGGAGGGCAGTGCACAGAGGAGATGCATGTGGATGACAGAGTTTGTTAGGTGAGTGGATGAACTATGATATGTACATAGTTGGTCCAATATCTCTAATCAATTGGCTTCAAGACTAACCACTACTTGAATATAGTCCTCTTCCAAGAAGTTTAAGTTTGCATCCTTCAATCAAGAATGCTGAGCCATATCGTTTCTTTTTTTTCTTTTTTTTTTTTTGGGGGGGGGCTGGTCATGGGGCCTGAATTCTGGGCCTGGGCACTGTCCCTCAGTTCTTCAGCTCAAGGTTAGTGCTCTACCACTTGAGCCACAGTGCCACTTCCGGCTTTTTGCTTATGTGGTGCTGAGGAATTGAACCCAGGGCCTCATGCATGCAAGGCAAGTGCTCTACCACTGAGCCACCTTCCCAGCCCTGCCATATGGTTTCTTACAAACTGTTTTTCCCTTTTCCTTTTGTATTGTCTGTATCTAATCACATTGCCTGATAACTGCAAACAACCTCACTGAAGATAAATGATTACATGAACCTCACAGTCACCGAGTATGCACTTGACATGCATTGGCATATGGACAACTACACAATATCTGTACAAGTCTTTGCCAGTTCATCAATGGGTTTTCCAACAGTTGAATGTTGAGGGTTCCTCTCACATTCTGGACATACAAATGTTCTTAAGTATGTGATTTGCCAACATTTCTTCTATTTGAAGGCCTTTCCTTTATTTATTTGATTATTGCTTGAGAGAAAAATAAATTTTTGAAGTTTGATGTGCTCCAACTTACAACTGTAATCCATCCTGATATAAAATCTAAAGTTAGCCTGGTGTCAATGGCCACGCCTGTAATCCTAGCTACTCAGGAAACTGAGATCTGATGGTGGCAGTTCAAAGCCAGCCTGGGCAGGAAAGTCCGTGAGATGCTTATCTCCAATAAACTACTCAGAAAACCAGAAGTGGTGCTATGGCTCAAATGTTAGAATACTGGCCTTGAGCTGAAGAGCTGAGGGATAGCACCCAGGCCCAGAGTTGAGGCCCCACAACTGACAAAAAAAGTAAAAACATAAAATAAAACCTAAAATTATTAGTTGATTCTTCCATGTGCTCTAACATCCACATAGAAGAAACCATTTTCTTGTGTCTTCACTGGAGCTATGACCAGTCATTAATATGTGTGTGCATATGTGTAGGTGTGTGTGAGCATGTGTGCAGAGGTAATACTATGAGACCATTTTATAATACTACTCACAAGTGTGGCTACTTACTCAAATTTGAGTCAAAAGTGTCATAAGGATTGTGCTTCTGGGTTCCATAACTTGGAGGTCCAAGGGGAAAGTCAGGTCTTGGTCCCCAGCACATCAGTACAGAGAGGAGGTCTGTAGAGCACATGGGCAGCAAAGATGGCGCTAAGAGGGGGTTGAGTGGGCAGAGCCCAATTTACTATAGAGCACATGGGCAGCAAAGATGGTGCTGGGAGAGTAGAGTGGGCAGAGCCCAATTGACCTTCTGATCAGTGCCTAACCAGCCCGTGAAGGCTCAGGTGCGTGATAGGGTGTGACCTTGACAGTGATTGGTTCCTCTTCCTCCCTTGCCATGCCACCTGCCCTTTTTGGCTTTAAAAAGGGCTGCTCTCTTTTAATAAATGAGTTTTCTACCTGCTGGATTTGGCTCCCTGCTGTGTCTGTGGGCTGAGGGAGGCTGGGGAATGGGCGAGCACCACACTTACCTCTCCTCGGACCCCATCCGTCTTTCGTGGGATGGACGAAGACCCAACAGAGGTCAACGTTTAGAATGGGCCTGGTGGGAGGGGTGCAGACCCTTGGCCTGAGGTTGAACAGGACAGAGCCTCCCTCAGGATCAGAGACCCTGATGTCGACGTTTAAAATGTGTGTGTGTGTGTCTTATGTTAAAATTTTAGCAGAACACAGAAGGAGCTGCAGTGTGGGTCTGGTTGGGGGTGGCTGCCTCTGGAATGTCCCTGGTTCTCCTTTCTGTTTTCCTGGTCAGCAGCCCTGGCCTCTCTTTGTCCACAGCAAATCTTAGGCTTTGTTCCTCTGGCCACCACCATACTGCGGCACCTCTTAATAGAACTCTCTGTTCATTATCCATTGATTCTTTATGACTCCATTATCCTGTTTCCTCTCCTCATGTTTTATTAGAAGTAATCAAAGAAAGCAATCCTGAATGCTTGACACTGCTGAGAGATTCAGACTCCCATAAGCTTGCTGGCCTACCCTAGGTGGACTTCTACAGTCATCCATGATGTGAATGTACTTCAGCCACTTCTGCCATGTTCTCCCTAGGATGTCCTGTTTGTTCTATTTGGTGTCAGTCAGTCTGTCTTCCCACTCCATCCTGTCCACAGTCATTTCCTGTCCACCCTTACAGGAAGACAAACAAAGGCTGTGGACACTGGGCCATGCAATCCATCCACCTTCTCCAGATAGACGAGCCATGCGTGATCCCCAGGAAGACGCATCCAGCAGTGTGGCTGAGCCCCCAGTGCACACGCAGCCATTTGCAGTTGCACAGGCATGAAAGCGAGTGTGAACATGAGTGTGTCAAGTCAGACACCGGATCTGCTGCGCACTCAACTGATTTGCCATGAGTCTGATGAGCATTGGCCTGTGCAGGAGGATGGAGGCCTGGTCCTGTCAGCTGTGAGCTCATGAGTCTGCTGTCACCACTCCATTCACAGCCTGGTCCCAATTCTGTGCTAACCAGGAAGCCCTGTGAGTTTCTGTCCTGAACCTGCTGGGAAAGCACACACCGAGTAGCCCTGATCTCTCCAGACCCATCCTGGGGCCTGTGGCAGAGCCATTTCTGCCTTGGCCCTCACTTCTCTGTCAGGCACCTGCCTTGTGTTCAATTAGAAGGGCGCCCAGCCTCTGTGTCCCTACAGGCAGCGCAGGGGAGACATCAGCTTGGGTCCTAGGAGCCCTGTGAGGGTGGAGGCCCAGACCCCAGGGCTACCTCCTTACTCACACCTGCAGCTGACGCGGGCTCAGCGCCCCCTGCTGGCCTAGGCTATGTGCATGTTTGTGTCTGGGCTCCCACTGGGCTCCTCTCACTGTGTCTCTTGCACAGTAATACAGGGCCGTGTCCGCGGTTCTCAGGCTGCTCATTTGCAGGTACAGCGTGCTTTTACTGTTGTCTCTGGAGATGGTGAACCGGCCCTTCACAGATCTGGATAGTATGTGCTACCGCCATCTGGATTAATTTGTGCAACCCACTCTAGCCTTTTCCCTGGAGCCTGGCAGACCCAGCTCATCCAGTAATTACTTAAGGTGAATCCGGAGGCTGCTCAGGAGAGTCTCAGGGACCCCCCAGGCTGCACCAAGCCTCCCCCAGACTCCACCAGCTGCACCTCACACTGCACACCTGCAAACACAGAGAATCCAGGTCAGCAATGGTCACACATATCCACTGTTCCTCCCACTCAGTTCCACTCACACACCCAGTGTCCCTTCTTCTCTGCAAATTACCTTGTAAAATGGCCACAAGGAAAACCCAGGTCAGAGCCCCCTCCATGGTGGAAGTCTGTCCCCAGTGCCGATCTCAGGATGGAACCCTTGGAAGTCAGGCCTGACGTGCAGAGCTGCAGCTTTTCATGAGCAGAGGGAGGCCCCATTTGCATGTCCTCTTGGTATATAGCCAGCTCTGGGGTGGAATCTGAGCAAAGGCAGTGCAGAGAAGACAGGAGAATCAGGCAGTCAGCAGTGACAATGATTACATGGAAGAGAACACGGACCTCATCCCACAGCAGAGCGAATGCTTTAGGAGATCTCATCTTACTGCATTTTACACAGCACAGTCAGTCATCAATCACATTAGGTGTCATGATGTGTGCATGTGTCACATTGTTTGGTGGTATGAATTTGTAATTGAAGAGTCTCTTGATTGCTAGAGAGGTGCATTGCCCTTGAGCTGTGTGTCCAACCGTCTTTGCTGTATTTTTCTTTAGTGATTTGGGATATGGCCATGCATTTTTCCTGGTGGTATGGGCTGTGTTCTCCTATCTGTGCTTTCTGTGCAGCTGAATGGATTGCTGTGCATGACTGTGTTTATCTCTGGGCTGACACTGTGTCTCTGGGACTGGCTCCAGTCATTCTTGCCAGTCTCCCCTACCGAGGAGGGGCAACCAACCCATCTGATCATTTTGTCACTTTTAAACTATGGAAATGCACTTATTTTATTTGCTGGAAACTTGTTCAGCTTTACCACATAGAGGACTTATTTATAACATTTCATAAGCACCACAGCACAGGGAAATCTGCTTCACCAGCAGCAGAGTCAGGAAATGGGGCATTCTTCCGGAAGCAAGTGCTTGGCTTCCGCTCTACCCCCTCCTCCCACCAGCAGTGGATGTGGGTTAAGGAAAGCTGTGTGCTTCCTACTGCAAATATGCTAAGGGGATCATTTTAGGATGGTTGTTTTATGTTTACTTTTCATCTCCTTTTATTTTTGGCATTTGGGTTTGAAATCTCAGCCTTGTGTTTGCTCAGCACGCTCTCTACCATGTCTTCAGCTCCTTTGACTCCATGCTGTTTCTCACATAGGGTGAAATGACTTTGTCCAGGGCTGGCCTCATGCTGTTATCTTCCTAGGATGCCCATTATATTTGAGTTTACAGGTGTGGGCCCCATGCCTGGATTATTGTGAGATACGGTCTCAACTTCTTGTGCAGGCTGGCCTCAATCCATAGTTTGCTGGATGTTTTCCCCTGCATACCCACCAAGTTCAGCTCAGTGGTGTCTTAGTCCATTCTTGGTGGTATAAATGTATCCCCAACTGGGAAACCTATACAGGGTGAGGATTTGTTTCTCATAGTCTGGGGTCAAGGTGTTCAAAGTCAAGCACTTTACTGTCTGCTTTGAGCTGGTTTTCTGCTTCCTAGGTGGTCTACATGCTGTGTTCTCGTGTGGCAGAAGAGACACATGGGTGCTTCCCTTGCAGGATGGGAAGGAAAGATCAGCTCCCTTCCTCAAGGGGACAGGAGGACACTCACCATCCATGAGTCAGGCTGCTTCCCTGCAAGGGTTAAATTCCAGATCATGAATGTTGGGGAGCCAAGGCACGCACCCCATAGCTTCCCACCTCAGCCTGGACTCCTTTCACATTGTACCTTCCAAATGATTTATCCATAGCACCTGCAGCAAAGCACTAGTGCCCCAGGGCTAATTTTACATTCAGATTCCAAGGTTTTGCTATCGTCTGAATCACACAGTTTTGAGTCACAAGTTACGTGTGTTGTAAATACAATGTGAGCCTGGAATAGGGCAGATATTCCCAAAGGGATGATGGGAAAGACAGGGTAACCATAGTTACCAACGAAATCCAACATCAACTGAGAGACATGATGCCTGAGAGATTGAATGATTTTCCATGACTTGAGTTCCTGCTGGGCTCACACAGTGTGGCCGTGCACACATGAGGTCTCACACATATGTACTGTACTGTGTACAGGTGTGCACACACAGTGTGGACGCACACAGGAGGTCTCACACATATATACTGTACTGTGTACAGGTGTGCACACACAGTGTGGATGTGCACACACGAGGTCTCACATATATATACTGTGCTGTGTACAGGTGTGCACACACAGTGTGGACATGCACACACAAGGTCTCACACATGTGTGCACACACAGTGTGGATGTGCACACAAGAGGTATCACACATATATACTGTACTGTGCACAGGTGTGCATAAACTGTGGACGAACATACACGAGGTCTCACACATATATACTGTACTGTGTACAGGTGTGCACACACAGTGTGGACGTGCACACAAGAGGTATCACACATTTATACTGTACTGTGCACAGGTGTGCATAAACTGTGGACGAACATACACGAGGTCTCACACATATATACTGTACTGTGTACAGGTGTGCACACACAGTGTGGATGTATACACATGAGGTCTCACTCATTTATATACTGTACTGGGTACAGGTGTGCATACACAGTGTGGACTTGGATACATGAGGTCTCTCTCTCTCTGTCTCTGTCTCTGCCTCTCTCTCTCTCTTGTGCACACACACACACACACACACGGTACAGGGCACACCTGGGCAAGGAGCCCCATGCGTGGGGTCTGTGTGTCTGCAGCTCTTCCAGGCTGGATTTTCACTGAGCTTTGTCATGTGCAGTACTGAACACAGGTCACCCCACAGGTCAGTTAGGCTTTGCTCTCTGGGGTGCTGAGCCCATAGTTCTGAGGACGCTGTCCAGTGGTCTTCCTGTGCTGTCCCCATTTCTCTAGTTGTCTCTGCCTGTCCCCAGCCATCCATGAATCAGACAGTCTCCACACATCCATCTTGGATTCTTTGCCCTGCAGAGAGACCGTGTGACACCCTGAGGCCTGAGTTCCGTACAGGGTCAGCACTGAGGCCCACGCTGCCAGGACACAGGAGTCACCCCTGGGAAGACTGAGATGGCCACATGGGCAGGCAGGGCAGTGTGGAGGAGGTCTGTCCAGGGCGTCCTGGGCTGCACGGTGCCCGCACCATTCATGCCTCGCTCTGCCCTCATCCTGAGCCCTGCGTCTGTGACTGAGTGGCTGCTCGAAGGCTCCGTTCAGGTCTCAGCTCAGGGAGCTGCACTTGGCTTCCTCTTTCCATCACAGTGTCTTATCAGAGCTCCTGGACCACTCCAGCGTTCATGCTGAAACTTTGCCACTTTTTTTAAAGCTAGTCCTGGGCCTTGATACCTGGGCTCTCTCCCTGAGCTCTGTTTGCTCAATACTAGCACTCACTCTACCACCAGAGCTATAGCACCACTTCTGGCTTTTTCTGTGATTAACTGGAGAAGAATCTCTTGAACTTTCCTGCATAGGGTGATTTCGAACTGTGATCCTCAGATCTGAGCCTCCTGAGTAACTAGGATGACAGGCATGAGCCACCTGCACCCTGCTAATGCTGATTTTCTTTTTTGTACTTTGCTGAAATTACTTCTATATCCAAATGTTTTAGGTAGGATCTTTTGGTCTTTCAACAGTGTCACATATTCAGCAATGAAGGTATTTTAACAGCATCATTATGTTGTCATCCCTTGCTTGGCACATAGGCAGATTACAGAATACTGTTACTGTAAATACTAACTTGAAAAGATGAGTAAAAAGGAATTGAGGCAGAGACTTGTTCTTTGTCTTTATACCCAAAAGTCATATAGTTGAATTATGTAGTAATTGTATTTTTAATGTACTGATTAATTGTATTGAGGAAGCGCTGCACTATCTCCATAGTGAGTGGTCTAATCTGTGTGATCTCCTTTACTGTACAGTAGGCCTTGCTTCCCCTGCCCTCCCATCTCACCAACATGCATTGTCTTTCTTCTTATTCTCCTTTGTTTATGGAAGACAGACATTCTGCTAGGGGCAAAATTCGATATCAATGTAGTTTTGAATTGTATTATTTGATGGATAACTATACTGAGGATTATTCTCATACATTCCTTATTCATATATCTATTTCTTAGTTACAGGTGCCTATTAAGTTTATTGGATAAATTCTTGATTGGATTACTTGTTTTTGATGTTTAATAATTTAACTCTTTAAACTTTCTGGATAGTGTTTCCCTGTTGGATGAATGTATACCAAAAATTTTCTTCATTTAGCAAATTTGTTTCTTTCCTGTTCAGATTTTACTTTGATATACTATTAGTCAATTCATGCTATTTTGTTTCCTGATCTATCTGTGTTCCATTAGTTTCTTTGCCTGTGCACAGCTCTTGCATAATTCTCCTGCCCCTTCTCCCACCAAGTGTACTGCCCAGAGATAAATGTGGATAAATCAGAATAATCTCCATGTTCTATCTCTTCATCAGTGATACTGCATTAGGATAAAATGTGATAACCAAGCAACAAATCAGTTTTGAAAATATATGTAAATAGATATTTGTAGTAGCATGTACCTCACCCAGAAGCCAACCCAAATATAAATCATTGACTATTAAAGATCACAGGTGGAAACATGTCCTCAAGGAGAAGCGACTGTCTAGGTGCAAGTCCTGTTGTGCTGTGTTCCAGAGAGAAAGGTCACATATGTGGAGGTTTTCAACCACCAGTTCATGTTAAACACTCAAATTTAGATTTTATTATACTTTGGTGCTTTTCTTATATTTTATTTTATTTAGAATTATTTTCCTGATGGCTTTCCCTTGAGTGTTTCTGCAAACATCGGGTGCTTTGTGATACATCTGTGCCACTCACAGAGACACAAATATTCACATGATCACACACGTGTTTGCTATATGCACACATGGCTGTGATGATCGTCCTCTCTGGGGCCATTCTGGTTGTGATATTCCCCCCACCCACTGTGTTTTCTCCTCCTTCCAATATTCTGCATCCAGCTGAAGCTATTAGACCACAATGCTGCCCTCTTTTTGGACAGCATGTGATGGAGTCAGAGGTCCCAGCTCCTAAGAGAGGATTTCACTGTAGACTCTTCAGCGTCTTTATGCTGAGAGCTGTTAGGGGAGCAATGTTTACTCTACAAATTAGTGCCAGCTGCAATCAATTTCTCTCCCATTCCAGGACCTGTCAACATTTCCATGAGACTATTCTGCAGATGAGCAAAACTCCCTTTCCTACCTTTCCCAGCTCTAAATTACAACCTCCACCACAGGTTGTGTGCAGCTATTGCTGCTGTCTGGTGCAGCAGGAGCAGCTTCTCTCTCAGAGTTTCTGGCACCTTCTGGATGTGGTTTCCACACTGTGCCTTGCACAGCCGTACACAGCCATGTCCTCGGCCTTCAGGCTGCTGCTGATCTGCAGATGTGCTGTGCTGGCAGAGAGTTCCAGGGAGAAGACAAACTGAGGAGGATTAACATTGTGAAAATTGCAGTTTTGCCAAAAAGCTATCTACAAATTCAGTATCCAAATTCAATATTCCAACAACACTCTTTAATGGAATAGAAGAAGCAATCCAAAAATGTAGATGGAATAATAGAAGACCCCAGACAGCAAAATAATCCTTAACAGGTAGAACAGTGTTGGAGAAATATCAATACCAAACTTCAAACTCTGTTATAAAGCCATAGTTATATAAAAACAGCTTGGCACTGGCACATGAACAGGCCTGAGGACCAATGGAATAGAACTGAAGACCCACTGACCTATGGCCACCTAACCTTTGATAAGGGAGACAAAAACATCAGATGGAAGAAAGACAGCCTCTTCAACCAATGCTGCTGGGCAGAATTGGCTATACATAGAAATCTTGAAGTTAGATCCTTATATATCACCCTGAACCAGAATAAATTCCAAATGGATCAAAGACCTCAGGGTAAAAGCAAATACTCTAGGAACATTACAGGAACAGATAATGGAAGCACTAGGGCTCCTTGGCACAAGTTGAAACTTCCTAACTAAAGATCCAGAATCACAAAAAAATCAAAGAAAAACTGGATAAATGGGATTGCATTGAACTGCAGAGCTTCTGCATGGCAAAGGACATAGCTAGCAAGATAAAAAGACAGCCCATGGATTGGGAGAAAATCTTCACTAGCTATACAACAGACATGGTCCTCATATCAAAAAATACTTAGAGCTCAAAAAATTAACCGCCCAAAACAAATCCTCAAAGAAACAACCATTCCATTAATAAGTGTGCTAAAGAATTAAAGAGATTTCTCTTGAAAGGAAATAAGATGGTCAATCTACACACGAAAAAATGATGAACATCTCTGTCCTTAAAAGAAATGCAAATTGAAACTACACTGAGATTCCAGTTAGAATGGACATGATCGAGAAAACAAATAATAACAGATGCTGGTGGGGATGTGGCCAAAAGAGAATTCTATCATAACATTTGTGGGAATATAATCTGGTCCAACCATTCTGGGAAGCAGTATGGAGGTTCCTCAAAAGACTAAACATAGAATTCCCCTATGACCCAGAAATCTCATTCCTGGGCATTTATCCAAATGATTACTAACACTAAAGCTACCCACACAACTGTGTTCGTTGCAGTGTTTACCATAGCTAATATATGGAATCAACCCAGATGTCCCTCAGTAGATGAATGGATCATTCATATGTAATACACACACACACACACACACACACACACACACACACACACACACACACACACACACACAATGGAATTCTATGCCTCCATCAGAAAGAATGACATTGTCCCATTCATAAAAAACAATGGAAAGACTTGAAGAAAATCATACTAAATGAAGTAAGCTAGACTCAAAGAAACATAGGCTCCATGGTTTCCCTCATTTGTAACAATTAGTATATGCTTAGGATAGTCCTAGCAGAGGATCATAATAGCCCAATAACTATGTATGTATGACCACATAAAATGATACTAATTGAAATGGTCTCCACAATATGAAAATGAGAGGGTGTTTGTTGCTGTTGTTTTTCTAATTTTTAGTGTACTGTTTGCCGTTATTTTTTGTCTTTCATTTCTTTCTCCTCTGGTTTATTCCCCATGGTCAATGTTTCTGATCTTGGTATCCATTGTCTTGTACTTAAGTTTATCTGATTTGGGGAAAGAAAGGGGAACCACAGCAAAGGGTGAACCAATGCAACAGAGATACTCACTAGACACTATGTTGGAAATGAACTGCATACATTTGGGGGAGAGAAGGCAGGGGGGAGGGAAAGCAGTGAAAATGAGGAATGAGATAACGCTGGTCAAAAGGAAATGTATTCATTACCTTACCTCTGTAACTGTAACCCTTCTGAACATCACCTTCACAATAACAGAAAATAATATGTATAATAGCAATAAAGCAGCTTATGAATATAAAGAAATATGATACCACTAGTAGAAATTCCAATTGTATTGATTGTATAGGAAACAATTCCTCTGCTATCAAAACAGAAGGGATTGGACTTATTTTAAAATTTACTTCTAAGAACTATCACATCCTCCCATTTAGAAGCACAAGTTCATTGTTACATGGAACAATTATCAACATTTGGAATGTTGACATTGGAAACTTTCAAACTGCTTTAGAGTGTGTAAATAAGTAGAGTGCTTTCATTGCATCATTACAAAAAGCAGACACATTCTTGAGGAGGCTGCAGATTCTGCACTGAGTGCATGGCGGGCACTGACAGAAAATAAGATTCTACATATTTGTGATCTTTAGGAATCATTTTACCCCATCTAGAAACTGTAAGGTCTGCTCCTGCATGGCTAGCAGACTCCACCCTCCTCGCAGCAAAGTCTCCACCCAGTACCTGCGTTACCTAGGCAACTGGCACATCTGGAAGGGGTCACATCTGCATCTGCTGAGGTCACATCTGAATTTGATGTGGCCACACCTTTCTCCACCCATACCCTAGATAAGGCCTAGCCCAGGGCCAGACTCTCCCTCTCTGCTCTCTTCTAGCTCTTTTTTTAGCTCTTTTCTCTCTCTCTTTTCTCTCTTTCCCAGCTCTCTCTCTTTCCCAGGCCTTTCCCAGCCACATGGAGTGCCAACCTTGCCTGGTCCCAGCAGGTCTACTGAATAAACTTACCCCTTACCCAAATACCACGTGCGTGGTGCTGTTCTTACTTGGCTACCTCTTTTTAAAAACCTAACAGAAACCTAAAATGCCAGCCAAGAAACATCTTCTTGGTGTGTATCTTAAGTTATCGCAGGTCCACTGGGCAAGGCACAACAAACATCTGCATGCAATTCCGTCTGTCATCCATCATGATGTCTGTCATTCATCATGATGTCTCGCAGGGGTGTGGCTTGCAGAGACAGAAACACTGTCCCTGAAGTCCAGTCTCTTCTGAAGGTCTCCTATGTCCCCAGTCATCAAGGTGATCCACGACAGTCTGAGCAGGGAAAAGTCAGCACTATACCCACACCACCTGTGGCAAGGTCAGACGTATCCCAGACTCCTAATGACCACTTCACAGTGGTCACAATGCCTCTACACAGAGGACAGCAGGAGGGTGCTGGGTAATGGAGAGTGAGAAATCCCACAACCTTTCCCTAGAGACTTACAGGAGTTACAGTCTGTGCCACCCCTGATTCCAGATAGAGAGATGAACCTGGGATTGAGAACAGAGACATGAACCCAGGACTGAGAACAGAGATATGAACCCGGATTGAGAACACAGGGCTTACTAGTTTCATGTTGTATTCTGGTGAGCAAAGAGAAAGGGAGATATAAGAATAAGGGTAATACAGTTAAAAAATAGTTAAAAATAAAAGTGATTCTGGTTGATATTTATGGTTCCATGATAAGACAGGGAGATTTGAACCTTGAGGTTTTATGGGTCAATGGCAGAGGAGACCTGGAGTGGGAGAGTTCCAGTCACAACATGAAATTTGAAGTCTATCCTCACCAGGCCTTCTGGAAAAACAATCACCAGTGGCCCTGAGCTTCCTCAGATGCTGATCCTGGGTACCACAGGGGAGTCAACTCTGCCCCTTCCCCAAAGCTACATTCTTCATTCTCTTCCTGTGAGATGTGTCATATATGTCAGCGTGTGTATGCATGTGTGTATACAATTACAAAAGCCAGATACTAACTTTACATTCAGAGACATCACAGATTAGAAAAGACCACAGCAATCCATAGGGAATCCCTGGGAAAACTGTTAAATGGAGATATGGCCCTGACCCAGGAGACCAGCTCCTGGCTTCTGTAGCATCTGCTCACAAAGCTGATTCTCAGCTTAGTGTGTTCTGGCTGCCCCCTGCTGGTCAAAATCGCCCCTGCCAGGAGGTTTGTGTCAGGGCTCAAACTGGAGTTTCTTCACTGTGTGGTAGTACAGTAATACATGGCTGTGTCCTCGGCCCGCAGGCTGTTCATCTGCAGATAAAGCATGCTCTTGCCATCATCTCTGGATATGGTGAATCTTCCTTTCACAGACGCAGCATATTCTGTTGTGTAACTATTAGCTTTGAGTCTAATTAAGCTAACCCACTCCAGCCCTTTCCCTGGAGCCTGGCGGACCCAGTACATCCAGTAATCACTGAAGGTGAATCCAGAGGCTTCACAAGAGAGTCTCAGGGACCCCCCAGGCTGCACCAAGCCTCCCCCAGACTCCACCAGCTGCACTTCACACTGCACACCTGCAAACACAGAGAATCCTGGTTAGGGAGCAGTTACAATACCTACTGTGCCAGTCTTATCCATTCATATAACCCGTATGTCAAGTCACCTACAAACTACCTTTTAAAATAGCAACAAGGAATAGCCAGCTCAGCTGCAGATCCATGATATGTTCTGATCACAAAGTGCAGGGAATCCAGGACCAGGCTCCTCTCAGAGCTACATGTTCCAGACTAGGGGCTGGTTTTCAAGGGCAGCAGCAGGCCCGATTTGCATGTCTTCCTGCTATATAGAAAGCTCTGCAGTTGGAGCCTACACACTGTGCTTTGTGTGTAGATGAGAGAGAGAGAAATTGAGCCAAGGGCTGCTGTGTGCATGTGGAGCAAGGGATTCAACTACACAAGGGAACAAAATGATCTAAGGGGCAGAGGTGGAGAGGGCTGACTCTTCCATCCTGAGACAGGTGTGGACCTGGGAAGGCAGTCCAGATAGGACCAGTGTGCTAGTGGACTGAGCTATTTGGACAGGAACTTTCTTGGTTCCATTCAGTGTTCAGACTACTAACAGACAGCACATTCTGGATAGCTTGACAGAATGATTTTCACCCCTTTCTGCAGTCTGGAATCCAAGGTCAAAGTGGCAGAGTACTTGTTTCCTAGTCACTCACTTTTCAAGGTTTGATGAAAGGCAGGTGAACACCTACTGACCATTTACGTGCATCTACCTTCTTAAATTACACAAAATAATTGGCCATGTTGTCACATGGGGCCCTGTGAATTTTGGGAATGCAATGTAGCCCACACCACCAGTGTAGAGGTGATCAAAATCCTTGACATGTTCTATCAAGAGATAAAATGAAGTCATTTGAAAATCAGCCTTAAGGAGAGTCATTTCTTAGGGAGATCTGCTATCATGGTAATCTTGACAGATGAAGTGTATCTAGTGTTTTCCTCTCTACAGGTCTTCCCCATTCACTCAGCCTCTTCCCAGTTGGAGGGTCCCACTTCTAGTGTAAACACTGATGCTAAAGTAGTGAGAGTCAGTAGAGGCATGGGACATGACCTGTGAGGGCTTTAGCAGGCCACCACTGTATCTGGGCCAAGACATTGGAACACACATAACGGCAGAGCCATGAGCTCACCCAGAGCCTCCCCACACAATCCTACCAGAATCCTTGAGATATTCATATTTGTCTGCTCCAGCGGGAAAACAAAACCCATCCTTCCCTTCATGTGGTCAGAGTCCATGCATCACATGAAATGTTTCAAAGATGTAGAAGCTTCGTACTGATTGTGTAATTTGTGATTTGCATGGGGATGCATCCCCATGTGAACACATAGCAGAGAGACTAGAGAGCCCAGTTAACTGACTCCCACAGGGAGAAGGCTGCTGCCTGGTCCCTCAGCCCATCTCTTCTGTCATCCTCGCCATTCGAGATCCCTCATCTGTCAGAGTTGTGGTGAAGGAGCTGATCAGAGAGCCAGATGTGCATACACACACATGTACACACACATACAAGAAGTCTGTCCATTACATTTTACATGCATCTGTTATATTTTGACTCACTCAAGCTCCTCTGGATGGTCTACTGCCTGTATCTCAAGGTAGCACTAAGCTGACCGTCTCCCTGTGAAACAGAAATGCTATGAGCACTCACCTTGAATTGAGCAGGGAATACCTGCTCTGTCTGCCAGCATCTCACACCTGTGAGACTGAGTATCCTTCCCTTCCCCCCCTCCACTCAGAACAGCATCATCACCATAACTTTGACTCATCTTCACCTAGCTGTCTCTGAAAAACTATTTTCTCTATGTGAACACAACAGTGACCTTAGGTATTTCACCCTAACTCTTCAAGAATATTCGTTGAGTGGAATGAATGATGAATAATCTGCATCTTTGAGTAAAGGAAGTAGGCATCAAGAGAGGAAGGTGAGACAGGACGTAAACACTCAAGAGAGGAAAGGTGAAACAGGAACATTATTTTGGAAAGATGCTTACATTTTTAAAAATAGTAACAGCACAGATTGGGCCTCTGCTCAGAACTCTGGGCGAGTGGGCTCACCTGCTGTGGGATAGTGGAGAGGAAGACACAGAACCTAGGAATTAATCAGAGGAAGAGGAGTCTGTCCTGGTCTCTGGGGACTGAAGAACTTGGAAATACACTGATGTGTGTGTGTGTGTGTGTGTGTGTGTGTGTGTGTGTGTGTGTGTGTGCATGCGTGTATTCTCTTACTCTTAAAGAATATGTACAAATTACCTATAAACCACCTTGGATTTTTAAGTTTTTATTTTCTCTAGTGAGAACATCAAACCTCCTCTCAGTCATTCTGGCATACACACACACACACACACACACACACACACACACACACACAAAATCTCACATTCTTTTTGTTTGTTTTGTTTTTGTTTTGCAAGTCATGGGGCTTGAACTCTGGGCCTAGGCACTGTCCCTCAGCTCTTCAGCTCAAGGCTAGCACTATTCCACTTGAGCCAAAGCACCTCTTCCCGCTTTTTTTTCTGTGTATGTGGTGCTGAGGAATCAAACCCAGGGTTTCATGCTTGTGAGGCAAGCATTCTACCACTGAGCCACCTTCCCATGCCTAATCTCACATTCTTGTTAGCTCTACACTCCTAATTATACAATAGAACACAAGAACACACACCTCCTAGCTGCTTGCATTTTTCTATACATGTTAGGGTGTGTGTTAGGGTTGCAGTATATGTTAGGGTACATAGTAAGGTATGTGTTAGGGTTAGGCTGCATGTCAGTGTATGGGTTAGGGTTTGATATGAATTAAGGTCGATGTTAGAGTTAGGGTTAGGGATACATGTTAGGGTCCAGGTTAGGGTTAGGATACACATTAGGTATGTATGTTAGAGTACATGTTAGAGTTAGGGTATGTGTTAGGGATGACTGTTAGGGTTAGTATATGTGTTCAGGTACACGTTATTGGACATGTTATGGTAAATAATAGGGTAAGTGTTAGGGTACATATTAGGGCACATGTGTAAGGATTAGGCTACATGTTAGTGTATGTGTTGAGGTTAGGATACTTCTTAGGCTTGTAGAGAGGAGCAGGCTGCTGTTCACAGAGTCCTGAGATGTTGCCTGAGTCCTTAACTCTACCCTGTGATCTGTTTCAGGCCTGGGCAGGGTCAGATAGAGCCTGTCTACAGCCTTCTCAGTAATGGGCTAACAGGATTGGCCATTAACCTTGGAGGCTGTCACACTGCATACCTGTGGCCAGTACACCCGACAGTCCTCAGGAGCCTGGGAGGACGTCACACTGCTCACCTGTGGTCAGTGCACCTGACAGTCCTCAGGAGCCTGGGAGGACGTCACACTGCTCACCTGTGGTCAGTGCACCTGACAGTCTTCAGGAACCTGGGAGGACGTCACACTGTTCAGCTGTGGTCAGTGCACCTGACAGTCCTCAGGAGCCTGGAAGGACGTCACACTGCTCAGCTGTGGTCAGTGCACCTGACAGTCTTCAGGAACCTGGGAGGACGTCACACTGCTCAGCTGTGGTCAGTGCACCTGACAGTCCTCAGGAACCTGGGAGGACATCACACTGTTCAGCTGTGGTCAGTGCACCTGACAGTCCTCAGGAACCTGGGAGGACATCACACTGTTCAGCTGTGGTCAGTGCACCTGACAGTCCTCAGGAACCTGGAAGGACGTCACACTGCTCAGCTGTGGTCAGTGCACCTGACAGTCCTCGGGAACCTGGGAGGACGTCACACTGCTCAGCTGTGGTCAGTGCACCTGACAGTCCTCAGGAACCTGGGAGGACGTCACACTGCTCAGCTGGGGACAGCATACCCCGACAGTTCTCAGGCCTGCATGAGGAGGTTGGCACTGGGCCTGGCTGCTGGAGTTCCTGAGCCCAGACCATGTATTGAGGCAGGCGTCAGGGTGGACAGCTGTCGGTCTGCTTGCCCCAGGAGGGCTGGATCCCTTTCTCCCGCCAGGCTGCTCCTCCAGAGACAGAGGGAGGCAGCAGTGACTGTGGTGCTTTAGGCGACTGTGGGGTGCCATCCCCCTCTGTCCCCAGAAACACGCAGAATCCCAGCTCATTCCAGGTCTGTGCCCAGCAGAGCCCAGACACCCTGCAGAGGGCCGCTTGTGAGGAAGCTGGCTACAGTCAGAGGACTGAACACTTCAGGGCATTTGGCTCTCTCCCATTCTGGGCAAGCAGCAAGCTGTCCTGAAAGTTCTAGAACACTGAGTTGGCCAACTGCTGCATGTCCACATTGAGAAAGGTGGATGAAAGCCCCTGTTGCTGACTGTTGCTGGGTACAGACCAGACCCTCTTGAGAAGGGTCACTCCACACTGGTCAGAGGCTCTCATGTTGATGGCGCAGGAGGCCCCTGGTCAGTCCTCACTCCTGTGGGGAGGAGAACCTATCCTTAGCATCCCGACACCTGGCCTCTTTCTTCTCTTTTCACCCTTGTGGTTTTGCCCCAGGCCTCTCTAAGAAGCAGGACGTGGATACACAGCCCGTTCTACACTCTCCCCTGTAAAGGGCCAGCCTGGGCTCGGTGGACACAGGCGAGACACTATGACCAGCTGGAACAGCCTCGTCACGAACCTTCTTGATTCACTTTTCCCACTGAGTTCACAAGGGACGGCTTGGCTGTTCCAAGCACAGGTGACCCAAGCACTGGGATCCTGCAATCCAGCATCAGCAGCATAGAGGCTCACCAGCTTCAGAATATCATACCTCTGTTTCATGTCCCAATTTCCCCACTGGTCCCAGGAGGTGGAGAGCTGAGGCAGCGGATGCCAGACAGATGCAAGTGACCACCTGGCCATGGCTATGGCCTGTGAAGGGCCCTGCCTTCCATAAAGTTTTTTGGGTGAACTTGGGGGAGGCACCGTGGTCTGGAGAGCATGTGGAAAGAGTGGAACACTTGTGTGTTATTTCCCTAGTGTGACTCTGACACACCACTGCAGTCTGGGTGGTTTAGAGATCTGTATTCACAGCTCTGAAGTCCAGCAGCATGGAATCAG